AACTCGCCACGCACACAAAAATTTCCTCGGGCGCCATTTTTTTTCGGCCAAATTTTGTATTAAGGGTTTCCGGGCGACTTTAAAAAATCGTACCGTCCGAACGGTTAATGCGATTTCGATGAAACTTGGCAAGAGGATGTATACTCACGGGACGCTTCTAAAAAAAAATCGGGGTGAAAATTTGTTGGGCCGTTTCCATGGCAACGGTAAAAAACTACCTAAAATCGTGTTTTTCGAGCTATTACTCCCTTTTGTGGGAACTGGGTGCACTTAGGAAGGGTGATTGTGTTAGTGGTAGATGCTCTAGATATCGAAAGTGGACGGAATCGATATTAGAATTTTCACCTGTCAACTGTCACTTTTTTATGACGTTTTAAAAATTTCTTTTTACTTTTTCGACGATTTATTACGAACGAGTAATTTTTTTATTATTTTTTCCGTACACCCTTTGCTCCTATCTAACTCGCCACGCACACAAAAATTTCCTCGGGCGCCATTTTTTTTCGGCCAAATTTTGTATTAAGGGTTTCCGGGCGACTTTAAAAAATCGTACCGTCCGAACGGTTAATGCGATTTCGATGAAACTTGGCAAGAGGGTGTATACCCACGGGACGCTTCTAAAAAAAAATCGGGGTAAAAATTTGTTGGGCCGTTTCCATGGCAACGGTAAAAAACTACCTAAAATCGTTTTTTTCGAGCTATTACTTCCTTTTGTGGGAACTGGGTGCACTTAGGAAGGGCGATTGTGTTAGTGGTAGATGCCCTAGATACTGAAGGTGGACGGAATCGATATTAGAATTTTCACCTGTCAACTGTCACTTTTTTAGGACGTTTTAAAAATTTCTTTTTACTTTTTCGACGATTTATTACGAACGAGTAATTTTTTTATTATTTTTCCCGTACACCCTTTGCTCCTATCTAACTCGCCACGCACACAAAAATTTCCTCGGGCGCCATTTTTTTTCGGCCAAATTTTGTATTAAGGGTTTCCGGGCGACTTTAAAAAATCGTACCGTCCGAACGGTTAATGCGATTTCGATGAAACTTGGCAAGAGGATGTATACTCACGGGACGCTTCTAAAAAAAAATCGGGGTGAAAATTTGTTGGGCCGTTTCCATGGCAACGGTAAAAAACTACCTAAAATCGTGTTTTTCGAGCTATTACTCCCTTTTGTGGGAACTGGGTGCACTTAGGAAGGGTGATTGTGTTAGTGGTAGATGCTCTAGATATCGAAAGTGGACGGAATCGATATTAGAATTTTCACCTGTCAACTGTCACTTTTTTATGACGTTTTAAAAATTTCTTTTTACTTTTTCGACGATTTATTACGAACGAGTAATTTTTTTATTATTTTTTCCGTACACCCTTTGCTCCTATCTAACTCGCCACGCACACAAAAATTTCCTCGGGCGCCATTTTTTTTCGGCCAAATTTTGTATTAAGGGTTTCCGGGCGACTTTAAAAAATCGTACCGTCCGAACGGTTAATGCGATTTCGATGAAACTTGGCAAGAGGGTGTATACCCACGGGACGCTTTTAAAAAAAAATCGGGGGTGAAAATTTGTTGGGCCGTTTCCATGGCAACGGTAAAAAACTACCTAAAATCGTGTTTTTCGAGCTATTACTCCCTTTTGTGGGAACTAGGTGCACTTAGGAAGGGCAGTTGTGTTAGTGGTAGATGCCCTAGATACTGAAGGTGGACGGAATCGGTATTAGAATTTTCACCTGTCAACTGTCACTTTTTTAGGACGTTTTAAAAATTTCTTTTTACTTTTTCGACGATTTATTACGAACGAGTAATTTTTTTATTATTTTTCCCGTACACCCTTTGCTCCTATCTAACTCGCCACGCACACAAAAATTTCCTCGGGCGCCATTTTTTTTCGGCCAAATTTTGTATTAAGGGTTTCCGGGCGACTTTAAAAAATCGTACCGTCCGAACGGTTAATGCGATTTCGATGAAACTTGGCAAGAGGATGTATACTCACGGGACGCTTCTAAAAAAAAATCGGGGTGAAAATTTGTTGGGCCGTTTCCATGGCAACGGTAAAAAACTACCTAAAATCGTGTTTTTCGAGCTATTACTCCCTTTTGTGGGAACTGGGTGCACTTAGGAAGGGTGATTGTGTTAGTGGTAGATGCTCTAGATATCGAAAGTGGACGGAATCGATATTAGAATTTTCACCTGTCAACTGTCACTTTTTTATGACGTTTTAAAAATTTCTTTTTACTTTTTCGACGATTTATTACGAACGAGTAATTTTTTTATTATTTTTTCCGTACACCCTTTGCTCCTATCTAACTCGCCACGCACACAAAAATTTCCTCGGGCGCCATTTTTTTTCGGCCAAATTTTGTATTAAGGGTTTCCGGGCGACTTTAAAAAATCGTACCGTCCGAACGGTTAATGCGATTTCGATGAAACTTGGCAAGAGGGTGTATACCCACGGGACGCTTTTAAAAAAAAATCGGGGTGAAAATTTGTTGGGCCGTTTCCATGGCAACGGTAAAAAACTACCTAAAATCGTGTTTTTCGAGCTATTACTCCCTTTTGTGGGAACTAGGTGCACTTAGGAAGGGCAGTTGTGTTAGTGGTAGATGCCCTAGATACTGAAGGTGGACGGAATCGGTATTAGAATTTTCACCTGTCAACTGTCACTTTTTTATGACGTTTTAAAAATTTTTTTTTACTTTTTCGACGATTTATTACGAACGAGTAATTTTTTTATTATTTTTCCCGTACACTCTTTGCTCCTATCTAACTCGCCACGCACACAAAAATTTCCTCGGGCGCCATTTTTTTTCGGCCAAATTTTGTATTAAGGGTTTCCGGGCGACTTTAAAAAATCGTACCGTCCGAACGGTTAATGCGATTTTGATGAAACTTGGCAAGAGGGTGTATACCCACGGGACGCTTCTAAAAAAAAATCGGGGTGAAAATTTGTTGGGCCGTTTCCATGGCAACGGTAAAAAACTACCTAAAATCGTGTTTTTCGAGCTATTACTCCCTTTTGTGGGAACTGGGTGCACTTAGGAAGGGCGATTGTGTTAGTGGTAGATGCTCTAGATATCGAAGGTGGACGGAATCGATATTAGAATTTTCACCTGTCAACTGTCACTTTTTTATGACGTTTTAAAAATTTCTTTTTGCTTTTTCGACAATTTATTACGAACGAATAATTTTTTTATTATTTTTCCCGTACATCTTTTGCTCCTATCTAACTCGCCACGCACACAAAAATTTCTTCGGGCGCCATTTTTTTTCGGCCCAATTTCGTATTAGGGGTTTCCGGGCGACTTTAAAAAATCGTACCGTCCGAACGGTTAAAGCGATTTCGATGAAACTTGGCGAGAGGGTGTATACCCACGGGATGCTTTTAAAAAAAAAATCTGCGTGAAAATTTGTTAAGCCGTTTCTATGGTAACGGTGAAAAACTACCTAAAATCGTGTTTTTCGAGCTATTACTCCCTTTTGTGGGAACTGGGTGCACTTAGGAAGGGCGATTGTGTTAGTGTTAGATGATCTAGATATCGAAGGTGGACGGAATCGATATTAGAATTTTCACCTGTCAACTGTCACTTTTTTATGACGTTTTAAAAATTTCTTTTTGCTTTTTCGACGATTTATTACGAACGAATAATTTCGTATAAGAGATTTCTGGACGAAACATCCCGCCAGCGTCCCCGTAGGGGTCGCTGCACAATATCTAATCATTATTTATATATTTTTTCGGGCGTCAGTTTTTTTTGGCCAAATTACGTAGTAGAGATTTCTGGACGAAACATCCCGCCAGCGTCCCCGAAGGGGTCGCTGCACAATATCTAATCATTATTTATATATTTTCTCGGGCGTCAGTAAAGATTTTTGGACGAAACATTCCGCCAGCGTCCCCGAAGGGGTCGCTGCACAATATCTAATCATTATATATATATTTTTTTGGGCGTCATTTTTTTTTTTGGCTAAATTACATAGTAGGGATTTCTGGACGAAACATCCCGCCAGCGTCCCCGAAGGGGTCGCTGCACAATATCTAATCATTATTTATATATTTTCTCGGGCGTCAGTTTTTTTTGGCCAAATTACGTAGTAGAGATTTTTGGACAAAACATTCCGCCAGCGTCCCCGAAGGGGTCGCTGCAAAATATCTAGTCATTATTTATATATTTACATGCTATCCGCGTCCTCTATTAATTCTATCGAAATATTTACTTTTACCTCTTCCTAAGAGAAGAAGTAACAGGCGTTTCCCCAGTTCTCTTCTTCTTCAAATTTCCCGTTTTTTCTTCTAATTCTATCGAAATATTTACTTTTACCTCTTCCTAAGAGAAGTAACAGGTGTTTTCCCAATTCTCTTCTTTTTTTTTTTCAACTTTCCCGTTTTTCCCTCCAATTCTATCGAAATATTTACTTTTACCTCTTCCTAAGAGAAGAAGTAACAGGCGTTTTCCCAATTCTTTTTTTCTTCAACTTTCCCGTTTTTCCCTCTAATTCTATCGAAATATTTACTTTTACCTCTTCTTAAGAGAAGAAGTAACAGGCGTTTCCCCAATTCTTTTCCTCTTCAACTTTCCCGTTTTTTCCTCTAATTCTATCGAAATATTTCCTTTTAACTCTTCCTAAGAGAAGAAGTAACAGAGGTTTCCCCAATTCTCTTCTTCTTCTTCAACTTTCCCGTTTTTTCTACAAATTCTATCGAAATATTTCTCTCCTTCCCTCTTTCCCCTTTCCCCCCCACCAATTCTCTTCTTCAACTTTCCCGTTTTTCCTACAAATTCTAATAATATATAATTAATACTCTTTGACGACCTGAAGCAATATTAAAAAAAATAAATAAAAACGTTGTCAAATTCAATAACAAAAAGGTTTGTTTTTGTTAAAAGTTAAGTGTCAGTGGAACACAAATTACGTCACAACTAATCTAGCGTATTGTATTCATATTCATAGTGAGAAAATAGTTGTGATGCGTGATTATTTACGCTTAGATACATTTTTTCTTACGTGATATCAGCATTGGAGTGTAAACCGTAAGCCTGAGGAGGGTCTGTAGGTGAAAAACCGTCGATGTGTTCCACATATTCAGAGGTTTGCTTAAATTTAACTATTTTATATCCTTTATAGAACAGGAAGTCCTCAGCGAAAACGTTCTCGCAGAACCACACTTTGCAAAAAGTATTCAGTAATCTTTTATCAAAATCATCCGTTACTCTTCCACCGTAGTGGACTTCTCCTAGCATGTACCTGAAAGAGAAACGTAGGCTCTTCTATGGCAATTATCGGACAGATAACATTGAAAACAATTCTTACCTGAGAGTAGGCCAACTGATTCCTCTTTTCGGATCTAGATCGTCCAAATGATTCTGAAGAAACAGCACGCTGGACAACCAATCCGCCGAATTGAATTCGTATGGAATATTCCAACCCAAGGGACCAAACTTTCTTCTCTCTTGCACAACGGTATGCAAGAAGGAGATGGCGTACACCAACGGTATGTACTGCCAAGCATCAGAGTAGTCCAACAAGTCCTGGTAAATTTTAAATAACCAATATAAAAATTAATTAAAGAGAATTTTAATGATGGGGAATGTAAATCTAAGTGATGGAAAATAAAATTATGCTATTGGTGTCAAGGAGTTTATGGTTAAACAAAAAACGTAACGGGAGATAGAAAGGTAAAGTCAAATCATCAACTGGTTAGAAGACGCCTAACTCACTCTTTAAGAAGAGTGATGTTTTTTATTCATTATGATTTATGATGTACCTCTCTTTGGTTTTTTACCTGATGATTCCTAAAGTTCTCTGAGACTTGAAGATGATTTGTGCTAGACTCAAGATGTCTTTATTTGAGTTTCATAGGTTGTGTTTTACAATGTGCTTACAACATTTTTAAATGATATATATCTCAGAAAATAATAGTCTGCTATGAGAGTGATGATAATAAAGGGATTAATTTAAAAATGATTTTTCAAAGTTTCTTCTGGCAAGGAGGATGACGTGACCTGTTAAGTCATGGCTCGTCTGGAATTGGTTCATTGATTTTGTTTTATGTTACAAGGTGTGAAGTCGGGTGATGTAACTTTCTGTGTGCACCAAACACTTGCACAAAAAACTAGTGACAAGAAAACTGGTTACTTAATTGCCTACATCCGGTTGCTCGTTGTCTAAACTGGCGCGTAATAAATGTTTACATGACAAGTTGAATGCGCGATCCTATCTGTATGCAATTTTGCCGTACCTAGTTATATTGTTAAGGTTAAAAAATTTGTTTTTAACACTCTTAATGGAATAAGAAAATATGCCAATCTTGTCACAAGATAAATTATCTTTCATAAGTTTATCTTTAAGCCTTACTTGATTCATAGAGCTGTAGGTTCTCAACAAACCGGCGCGAATGCCTTGCGGAGCTTCGTTCGTAAATTTAATGCAGAGTTGCAATAAACTGATCGGAAAATTATCATTCGGTTCGGTAGTAATCCATAGGCGGAAATCTGGATGGATCTCGGTTGCACCTTTCTCTAATTCGAGTAATTCGCCCAACAGTTCCTGCATATAATCCAGCGATAGATGACAGTTCTGAAGCAACGCCCAATATCCTGAAAAACAGATAAACAATTTGGTAACCTAAATTTTTTTCTCAATTTGGTAAGGTAGATAACTAACTCGGTCAAAAGAGATTCAGTCGTAGGATATCCAAAGTAACATCTTCCATTTTTCATTCCTAAATTTATATAAAAAAATAATAAGGGTCTTAATAACAGAATTACAGGAAGCATAGTCCAAAGATATACCACCCCCGGTCTAGAACAGACAATAAGAAGGGAGAATATTGCAGGAAACTAAGTTATTTTAAGTTCTTATTTTTTGGTACGGGTGATTGGAAATTTTTTTAGGACTCTCAAGAACATGTAGCTGGTGACACTGCTCTCTTACCCCTTTTAATACATTTGATATCAGCTGTATCCCATTAAAGGGGAATTACTAAGTCCAGTTACAATATTTAGTAACGAGGGTAGTGTATTACATTCGGTAACAGCGGCACTTCCTCTACCAGTTGTGTTAAATTACATGACAACTTGCGTGGCAAGGAAGCTACCAGTTGTTATATTTTTTTAGCTTTACTATTCAGGCAGCCAGATATTATTAAAGCTCTCAATTTTTTAAGTGAGTCTAGGAATATCTACGATAGCAAAGAATCTCGCAAGCAACTGGCTAAAAACAACAAATTTACTTTGAAATGGGTTAGTGGCAACAAAAAGTTCGATCATCACGCCTTGAGATTGCCAAAACAATATTTATAGGACTAAAGTCCTTTTATGGTATAACTAAAATTTACATAATGGAAGAATACCGTAAATAAGGAAACACATAAAGAATATCCCACAGAGAACTAAACAAAATCGTGATAAGACAAATTTCTGAACTCGTTACCATTCCCTAAGATGGGTCGTAGGTCAGAGACTAATATGTGGCTTCTGTTCTGGTGTAGAAGAAATTGTAGAACGTTTGACAAAGGTGCTTATTAATCTCTAAGCTCCTAGAAAAATCCTCCGTCTTGTCCTTGGATACCTGGGATTTCAATATAATAATATTGAGGGTGGGTATTCGCAATAGATGTGTTAATAATAAAAAAATAACCTTCACTTATGGCTCCCTCCAACAATTTTCTAGCGTGCACCTCTTGGCCTTGTCCCATAGAGATGGATTTTACTGCTGTTTCCAACTTTTTGGCAAGCTGTTCAATGAACGGGGTCGGGTCAGATCCAATGCTCAAGTAACATACCATAGGAGATAGAGGGCGCGATTCGTTATATAGAATCTCTAGGTTGAGAATGACAGGTTCGGCGAATTTCGGACCAAGAGAGCTGGCGATATATTTTCGACTCTGCGTAATGGTTCTGTCCGGACACCATGCTCTGAAAAAATATTTTGTTTACGACTATCATTATCATTGCCCCGAATTACCAACTTTATGTTTTGGAATTTAATAAATTGATGTACAAATTCAACAATAGTATTCGAGAATTTTATGTATAACCTACAGACAGCCAAGCAGCCAATATAATAAGGTGTGTCCCAACCTCATGTAATTAATTTCAAGAAGAGGGATTTAGCAATCAAAACAAAATCGCACCTCTTTCTAATAATTAAGACATATTGGGGTCTATTCTGTAAAAATTCCTTTATATTTAACGGCCTTTAAAAATATTGGCGGCCTTTAAAAGTATATTTGTATTCGTTAATTTACTTCTGTCATTATTTAAACAGATTTCTTTAAGATAGTCCTCTAATGTATTTTAAAGATCCGTTTAAATAATGACAGAAGTAAAGAAGAAAATATTTTTAAAGGCCGTTAAATATAAAGGAATTGTTACAGAATAGACCCCATTGACGCTTTTAATAAGAAACATTAAATTTTTAAACAAAACATAATTAAGGACAATAATTATATTTTTTAATATTACAATAAGTCGGAGAACGTATTGCATTAGTAACACGTGCCACATGAATAAATTTAAGAACCCCACTGTGGCGTTCTTTAATTAACCAAAGTAAGATCTAGTCATGTAAGTAACACAAATTGTAACCAACTTTTGTCACAAAGTAGGTATTTATTTATTGTTTTAGAAAAAGAAAATAGCATCAAAACGTTAGAAAGAAGATTTGATATACGAAGAAAATTATCTGAATTCCCATTATTATTATTATTATTATTAAGACACTATTGGCCATTCGTTTTGAAAATAAGAACAAATAACGATTAAAAATTAAAAAATATTTGTTATGAATAGATTTACAATAATTCATCGATAATAGACTGTAAGTGTAGTATTCTTTTTAATAATTTAGCGTAATTACATTGTTTAAATTTATTTACAAGAATATGAGAGTGCAGTCGATATTTATACACCATTTATTATCTGGTTTTTAAATTTCCCGCTGCGTTGTTTGATATCGATGAAAGCGCCACATATTGAGTCAGATGTTAACTGCGTTAAAGCTGGTCGTTAAGCATTGGCTTCTTATGGGCTTTCCTATCTTTATCTCCCTTATCACTGATCGCGCGTATCTGCTGAACACTAGAGCTTCACTCTAGCTATGGCGGTCGAGAGTCAAGGAAGTGTTTAGACATACACCGACTTATTTCCCCTATGCTACAATAGTACTTAGGCTAAACTCATTACAATGCATGATATACATAGTAATTACTATCTAAGAGTTACTTACACTTGTCAGTATGGGCACTAACTATTCTCGTTACACACTACATGCTATACATAGTAAATACTCTGAGAGGTACTTACACCTCTATGTTTATGGAGTAATGAGAAGTACCATTACACTCATTACACTATGTAATTACTCTTATTGCAATACATGATATACATAGTAATTTGGAGGTACTTGCCAATTGCGCGAAGGGTGGTGTAACCTACCGCACCCAGGTACCTTAATAATTTATTAATTCCATTTATTAAATACAATATTGCATTCTTATTAAATTCAAAATCCTTCATTTAACGAAAAATCTCCCAGCTAATTAAATCTTACTTACGACACCTAATAAATAATATCTATAACCACGTCCGTAAAATATCCAAATTTCGTGCACGTGTCTCTGAGAACGTAGATCAAAAAATATATTTCTTTTCACGAAGTAATTATCATTAAAACACTTAACTCGCTTATCTTTCTAGTTTTGATGTTAAGACCGATTTCGACAATATTTTGATACACAAAGCTTTCAAGGCAAGTAATAAATAAGCCACCCCCTGCACCCACCGTATTTCGATGAGAACTAAAGACCTAGAGACGTCACAAAAGCCATTAAAACTTTATTATAAAAAGCCAGACCCAAATGAGCTTGGATGCATTTATTTTTAATTATTTGATGTGCATGCATTCAATTTTATTATTTGATGTGCAAGCATTCATTTATTATTTGTAACCAGTTATATTTTAAGTTCAGTAGTCAGTACCTTTCCTAAAACGCTCTTCCTAAACGACGTCTATCCTACAATACCTCCTATCCCCGAAGGTGTCAACGTCTCGACGCCCAACGTCCTGCCGTCCTACTCCCTACGTCTCGAACGCTGTCACATTCCTCACCATCTAAGTATTTCCTACCGTACACTCATTTCGATGCTCAACCTCCCACGCCTTATTTCCGACGCTTGTAATCCCTAAATATTTTTTTCATAATATAACGTCACGCACCACCTACATAATTCTACCGTATATCTGTCCAAATACAGTACCGTATTAAGTACCTTCCTTCCCACCACGATGCTAGGCGCCTCGACGCTCAACGCTGCGACGTACCTAAATCGACGCCGTCACAACGCTAAAGTCTATTTAAATTTAATTTACGCCTGATGTAAACAGAAGCAGGTGGGCGCTAAAATTGAGCAGGGCTGTATTTTACTTTTCCGTCTTGCAAAAATGTAAAATAAAAGAGTGTAATTGTGAAATTATTTTTTAATTACGATAAAAACATATTTTGTAAAGTAAAACTATAAAATAAATGCCATACACGGTCTCCCAGACTTTAGTGACATTTCTGGACGAAGATAGGTGAGCGACATAAACTGCGTTAACCTGCTATACAAATTAATAAATTTATGCATTAAAACAATCATATTATAAAATTATATTGTCCAAATAATTGCAAATTCTTTAATAGCTAATATATATCTACTAAAAGCATTAAAAAACTTTAAATATAAGAGGTATTTGGTATTTGAATTTGGTATTTGATTTAAAATTGTGCATCTTAAAAAGAAACCTTTTGTATTTTTGATAAATTTTGTTCTTTATTGTTCTTGTTCTACTAGTATTTAGATTAGACAACTTGTACCCTGTATTATAGCAATCTTCCTTACTTGACTTAGCACTATTCTGAATCGGATAAATTAGTTAGACTTGAAAGGCTATCTTCATTAATCAAAATTACAAGTGGTTCTACCTGAACCTCTATAATATTATCTAACTCCCACATTTTTACTTCAACTTTTTGGCGAACATGGTCGATACACTTTTTCCATTTTTCTGGAAAAATTAATAATATTACTTCTTCAAAAAGAATTTTAATGTCTCCAGATTTAAATGTTGAGTTTTTATCTGCTACGCATTGTTTAACGTCAACCTAGATTCAATAGGGTTGAGTTCACAATGATACGGAGGCATGTGAAGTATTATGTTGTTTTGCTGCTTAGCCATTTCATCTATTACATACCTATCATAATGTTTGTGTTGCTTACCAAGTTTTAGATGTTGAATTTTAAGCATTTGGTAGTCGAATTCAATTTTTTTCCCTTATAGTCATTTTTAAATATCACCTTTTTTAGACGTCGTAGATATTTTTTCCAGCTTTCTCGAATAATAATGCAGTTATCTTCTAATTTTGGTAGGGTGTTTGAAAACCACTCTTTGAACGATTCTCCACACATTTCTTCATGGTAGTCACCGGATTTTTCAACTCAAATACATAAAGTGCATTAGAGACAAAGCCTTCTTTACTTCCAATATGGCATATAATGAGCTGTTTTTACGCACATACCTGATGGGTTTTTAAAACCAGTTAAAAGTTCATCCAAAAAGGCTTGTCTGGATGAAAAAACCGACATATCGAAACATACTTTTGATTCGGTGTGGCCTGCGTTAATCCAAGTCTCATCAAGATAATATATTTTTTGCTTTTCTTCTCTGTACTGTTTTATTTTTTGTGGCGTAGGACGAAACAATTTCATTTTTGTCTAAAAGCAAACTATTTTTTAGTAAGGTAATTCACTGGCGAATTGGCGCTGTTCGTTACTTCCGTTGGTCATCACCTCTATACTCATTGAAATATTTACCTAAGAGAGTGCAACCTGTATATATCTAGAATAGAATCAAATAAACATCAACTCAATAGTTAATCAACTGGCAAATTGACGCTGTTCGTTTACTTCGTTGGTCATCAACTTAAATAAGAATATAACAACAACACAGTAGTTAATCAACTGGCGAATTGACGCTGTTCGTTAACTCCGTTGGTCATCAATCTAAATAAAATATATATTGATAGCAAATGAATATGGTCTGCGTTTGAACGGGACTTAAGTGAGAACTCAGTAAATAGTAACATTTATAATATACTTTGCTAATTATTGCATCACATTTAAAGTATGAAAAATAAAAAGAGTTTAAATATGAATTTGTATGTTTTATTTATCAATTTGCACCAAACTTTGCATCGAATCCTGGTTTACCTTAATTAACATTATCACAACGTGGGTACATAAAATATCAATTAACTAGACGATCACTTCTACTACTAAAGGAAAAAGGCCAAATACGGTAAGTAAAGAATTTAAAGTAAAGTAAAACTTGTGAGGTAAATAATAACGTTTCAAAGAAAGTAAAAACAACGAACAAAATGAGGGGGGCAGGGGGTGGGCCGTCACAGTGGGGATGTGTACTTAGGATAACTACTAATTACCCAATTACCTCTCTCTGTACCTTTGACCTTGGTTCAGAACTGGCCAATCCCATCTACTAATTTATGATAAAGAGAAGTGCATTTGAAGGGTAAGGGCATGAGGAAAAACCAACGATGTCCATTTTATAGGAATTTCTAAGTAATCAGCTTATGTTGGTGATACCGAGTCCCAAAGGCATGCTTAATTGTAAGAGAATAAAATAAACGAGGTCTGAATAATAAAACATTTAAAAATAATCATTGTAGGAATTTTGACAATGGATGTATGACGACACATTTCTAATGAGCAACCCGGGTATCCCGTTTCGCAACATTCGCGCGTCACAATCATTTTGGGACGTATGAATACGGTCGCTAGGCAAGTTGTTGTTTGGGCAGAAGTCAACGAAAAAAAAGTAATTCTTTTAATCTCAATATTTTATATTCAAAACCCTGTATTAAATAATACAAAGAATAGTTGTTAATGTGTTCCTGTTCCTGTTCATGGTAATATACGAATACAAAAGTTCGCAGTTTTATTTTATTGACGCAGCTAAAGTTAAACCAAAACCGATCTGTGGCCAGTTTAAGAACTGGCACTCGTGATGAGGATGTAGCCAGCAGCATCATCCCCAGTCAATCATAATGCTTAAAAACAGATGTCTGTGCGAAACTGGAAAAAAATCGATGTTGTCCAGGCTAAATACAACAATTAGCAAGTTCTAAAACGATTTTGTTACCCAAATATTAAAGAAGAATTTTATGAAACATTGCTATACAGGTGAAAATCTCTTTATTTTAGGTTAGTTTTAAAATGGAAATTATTTCTTTTTAACAAGTTATTTGTCACGTTTATTATTTTTTTAACGTCAATATAATAATCTTACGTTTAAATTCTTTTGTAATAAGTTAACTCTACAGTAATAAATTACGTTAAAAATATTAACGTGCAGTTTTATTTATTTCTATAACTGTAACATAAGATTTGGTAATAATATTAATTATATACTCAATTTTCTCAGTATGTTAGTTTTGTGACATCATCTGTTTTTCCCCTTCATTTGAGATAAACATGGAAATTGTCCATTGATTTATAGAGTTAGTTGAGTGATGGAAATAAATTAATGAATAATAAATACCTTATTAACAGCAGTTTTCTAAAAGTATCCAAAGTATGGTAGCCATCAGGTATAATTGATTCTTCAGGCGCATCTTTATCAAACCATTCTTTCCATCTCCTGTCATTTGCAGTTACCTGAAAAATATTTGTTTTTTTTTAGATTAATATTTACTTCATCTTAAATTTTATTTTACATTTTCTAGGACATTTATTTTCCTAATACCATGCTATAGAAGTTCTCCTCCTTTTTAGAATAGATGACCTCATTACAATAGTAACTTAGTAATAACTATTCCTAAGTGCATATTTGGAAATTCTAAAAACGAAAATCCTAATACCCTCTACGAAATTATGAATATTACACTTACATATTCCAAAAGTGAAAACAAACCAAAGAAATATTGAAAAAGATGAGAATTAAAGAAAGAAAAATTCGTGCGGGACCGGGAGTTGAACCTGAAACCGCTCATGCAGGGCCGACTAGAGGGTGGGGCAGCCGGGACTAATTCCCGGGGCCCGGGCTTAAATGGGGGCCCGGCAGCGGTGGTGTTTGTTACTTTCAGAAGTTCGACAGAAGAGGGTGGAAGTTCTTAGTGGAAGATCTTTTTTTTTAAGAAATTCAAGTAGAGGAGGAGAATGCAGACTTTTTGATATTCAATTTTTTATAAAATTGTCGTGGGGCCCAATCTGATGAATTGTCCTGGGGCCCGGTCTGGCTCTCGGCGGCCCTGCACGCATGAGACCTTTGTGGCAAGTTGTATTCCCAAATACTATTGCCAATTTTGCTATTTTGAACCTTAGTACATTTGATGATAGCGGTAACAACCGGGAAGTCTAAAGGACCACCGTTTGTCACCAAATAACAACCGAGAAGTCTAAAGACTATCACTTGTCACTAAATGTAACAACCAACTAGCCTAAAGACCATTTGTAACTACTGATAGGTCTTTAGCTACTGTTGTATTCATTTAACAATTTTTTTTAATTTGATTGAATTATGATTGAATTGTTTGATCGTCAAAATATAATATAATTCTATTATGAATATAGAAAAGGATCAATTGGAAAATGAATAAATTAATGGGTCAAATGTAAAATATTGATTCTGCTAAATCAATTAAAGAGGATTTAATAAGCGTTTGCTTCGCTATGTTAAGGCTCTTTTGATACACGTTTGACCATTCTATTGTAACAGTAATTTTTATTTGAGTCAATGAATATACTCATGTATGGAATTACTAACAGCCGTATGCATAGTCGATCGCCAGCGACTCGCCAGAGATTCATTTCGGCGTATCGCCAGCGATTCGCTGGCGATCCGCCGGCGAAAGCCCAGAAAGCTGGCGACTAGCCGGAGATTGTCACCGGAATGTCATTTCAAGCAAGTTTTTATGTTCTTTTATAGGGAAAAATTTGATATTCGTTCATTATTTTTGGAGTTTTAAGAAATGAATCATGAATAAAATGCGAGAGATACCGTTGATAATCCCTATAAAAGAAAATAAAAACTTGCGTGAAATGACATTCCAGTGACAATCTCCGGCGAGTCGCCAGCTTTTTGGGCTTTCGCCGGCGATACGCCGAAATGAATCTCTGGCGAGTCGCTGGCGATCGACTATGCATACGGCTGTTAGTGTTAATTGTAAATTGTTAATAAATACATGAACGATCAATATATGTTAATTTATTTTAATTTGTTTGATATTCTTGCTTTCGTGTTGGTTAATAGTGATTAATGGTTTAGTTTTGAAAATGTTTTTGAATTGAATGCTAATTCTAATGACTTTATTCATAAGATTACGGAATAAAAGAATATAAGTTTTAAATTTATTTGTGTGGCAGTTAGCGAAAGAAGTTTAAACTCACCTTGTACATCGGATGTGTAAATTAAGGTTAAAAATATTTGAATTTGTTGCTGTTGTTAGTCCTGCTGATCTTGGTGCTGCTGGTGTTCATTGCTACTACTGTTCGCTGCTACTGCTTCAGCTGCTTCCGCTGCTTCCGCTGCTTCCGCTGCTTCCGCTGCTTCCGCTGCTTCCGCTGTTAATTGAGCGGTGCGGAATCATAGGTATGGATTCTTCGGGGTCACCAATGTGGGATCGTTTAAATTATGTATAATTCCATCGTAAATAAATAAAGTGGATTGGAATTTATAGGTTTATGTGAGTTTAATCTTTTTGTCGCTGACTGCCACGAATTGAAAATATTCATTATTTCTATCATTAGTTATCATTTTTTACAATATTTTAATTTTTTTTGCTGCCACCAAAGGTTATATAAATGATGACAGCAATTTAATGTGTATGACGTATGTAGTGCAAGTATGTCGCAGCAATAGCATAGTCGAGCGGTTCTTCGCAACTAGTTTTAGATTTTTCTAGTCCTAAGGGGCCGCGGTTTCTCAGAATATTTTACTGGTTTGGAAAGGGGAGAAGAGATTAATACTAAGTAATAAAACATTCATAAATGTATATTTACAATAAGTACCAAATTTGACTAATAGTTTTAAGGTGATTACTGCACCCCCCTTATAATTTTCGGACAAGGATATCTCAAAAAGTAATTTTTTTAAAAAATTAAAATTTTGGCAAAATATATTAGGCAATAATATCTAGAATATGCATATATTTTAAAGTTTTAATTCCTTTCAGTTTCAGAGAAAAAAATCAAAGGGCTTTAAATTTTGAAATATCATAATGAAAATAAATGCATTCTTCAACAGCACTATTAATATAATCCCGAAATTTGAGCTCTTAATGTCTTGTTAATGATTTTTTAAAATTCGACAAAATTAGTGGCTAAAACGCCTCTTTAAATGCTGCCTTCTGTTGTAACGCGACTGTAACACTCTCAGTCATCATTCGTTTCCTGAAATGTTTACACCAGTTTACACCAAAAGATAGCACTTAACCAGGCGTTTTTGTCACTAATTTTTGGCAAATTTTTAAAAAATACATTAAGAACTTAAATTTGAGGATTATATTAAGAATAGTGCTGTTGAGGAATGCGTTTATTTTCATTATATTTCAAAATTTAAAGCCCCCTTTAATTTTTTTTCTGAAACTGTAAGGATTTAAAACTTTAAAATAAATGCATATTCTAGATATTATTGCCAAATTTTAAGTTTTTAAAAAAATTACTTTTTGAGCTATACTTGTCAGAAAATTATAAAAGGGTGCTGTAATCACCTTAAGAAAGAATGAATAAAATTATATTTAGGGAATAAAGCACTACTTGATAATATATCCAGACTTTTAGTAAAAGAACCTATGATTTATTTCAACTAGATAAACTTCCTATTGAATTATATAGTTTGGATTCATTAACAATTAAAAATAGTACCGGAAAATTTAACTATATAATAATATAAAATATATATAAGATAATATAATACTCGGGACGAAAATGTAAAATTGGCATTTTTATGCAAATCAATTAATAATTATCAACGAAAACACTTTAAAAATAAGTTAAAGATATTTACCTATATTACACAATCGCTGAACAAAAACTTTACTGTACACATTACTTTGTTTCGGGACATAGCGTCCCGAAACAAGAGTTTTGGACCGTAGTTCTTACTCGAAGTCTTTTTCTTTCTGTCTAGTCTCTCTATATAAACTAAGGTGACCATTCGTACTGATTTTACCAGTACAGTACTGTTTTCAGGGAATAAGTCCTGGTTAGTCATTAAACAAAACCAGTACACGAAAATTGGTTTTAAAACGTTAAACCAAAATTTACTCCTATTTTTAACCGACTTCAAAAAAGGAGGAGGTTCTCAATTATTTTTTTTGTTTTATGTATGTTCAGCGATAATTCTTTAACACGGTGTCCAATTTTAATAATTTTTTTTGTTAGAAAGGGGGTACTTCAGGGGTGGTCCCATATAAAGTTGGTCAAAATCTAATAATTGGGTCCATGACAAAATCCTCACTCTTCATTTTTTATGTATGTTTAGCGATAATGCTCGTCCGATTCATATGATTCTTTTTTTGTTAGTAAGGGGATACCTCAGGGGTGGTTCCATATAAATTTGATTAAGATGTGGTGATGGAATCTGCACGTTTTTGAAGTCGGTTTTTTTAAATTTTTAATTTCAAATACTTGTTACATTTATAATGTGAGCAGGGGTCGCGGCGGTTGGGACTGGGAACTTTTTACTGACCGTGGGAACCAAATTTTCCTTTGATGATACCGCCCTGCCACGCCCACGCAATTCATACCTCGTTGGAAAGGGCTTTAAGCATAGATTACATAAAAATAATTTAAAAAATTCCAACTACCCCCTTTCATCCCCCGCGAACCACCCCCTCATTGAAAAATTGATCAATCATAGTGTGTGATACGTCGTTGAAAAGGTCTTAACGTACAGAGTAAGAAAAAAATAATGAAAAAATTCCACCTACCCTCCTTCACCCCCACGACCCCCCTCATACTTATAAAATATAAAACATGTGATACGTCGGTCTTAACGTACAGAGTAAGGGAAAAATAATGAAAAAATTAATGTCCTTTAACAGAAAAATCATGCGCAATGCCATAAGAATCTTAGCACGTATCTTCACTGCTATTGGTCCGATTTAAACGGGAAAAACGGAATTACGTACAAGAGACAAATCATGCGCAATGCCACAAAGGCCCTAGCGTGTATCACGTGGTCCGATTTAAACGGGAAAAACGACATTACGTAAAGAACGATTAACGTAAAAGAGAAAAATCTTGTGCAATGTCAAAGGGGCCTTAGCACGTATCTTCAGCCATTCGCAAGTGCACATGCGCAATGTCAAAAGGACCTAAGCGTGTATCACGTGGTCCGATTCAAACGGGGGAAAAACGTCAATATGTAAAAAACGTCGTACAGAAAAATGATGCACAGTGACAGGCCAAAAGGGCATCGAACGTATATCTTTGTTAACGCAACGCACGTAACGCACGCAACGTACGCAACGCACGCAACGCATGCAACGCACGCAACGCAACGCACGCAACGTATGCAACGCATGCAACGCACACAACATACACAACGCACGCAACATACACAACGCACGCAATGCACACAACACAGGTATGCATTTACAATGATCATGTCAAAGGGCCTAAGCTTATATTTTGTTAGTCCGATTCGAACGGGT